CTTGGGTGTTATGTACCAACCGATTTTTTGAGATAGGCTCTCACTGTATAGCTCTGACTGATCTGGATGTCTCTGTATAAACCAGGCTGGCTTCAAATTCCCAAAGACTTACTTACCTCTGCTTCCCAAATGCTTGGATTAAAAGTGTATACCACCACACCCAGAAAAATATTAATCTTTATTTTATTCATAAAAATGTGTATGGTGTTTTGCCTGCATGCATGGCTATGTATCATGGTCATGTAGGACTCCTAGAAGCCAGAAGAAGGCATTGGATCTCTTCAAACTGAAGTTACAGACATTTGTGAGCCACCATGTGGATCTGGGAGTCAAACCCAGGTCTTCTGGAAGAGAAACCAATGCACTTAACCACTGAGAAATCTCTGCAAATAGATTTCTTTAAATGTAAATTTTATTTTATGTATTTATGTGCACCGCATGTGGTCAGTACTGGAGTTAGAAATTGTTGTGAGCCACCATGTGGGTGCTGGGAACTCAGGTCCTCTGAAAAAACAGTAAATACTCTTAGCCAATGAGCCATCTCCCCAGGTTCAATATAATGTATTTAAATTAAAATTTTAGATTAGCATACAGAGTAACCGGTTTTGTTATGTCATTTTCATATAAATGTGCATCATTGTATTTTGTTCTTATGTGCTTCCTTCCCTACTCCCAATCCCTCTAGATGATTTCTTCCTTTAGTCTAATCTGCCTCCCTCCCTCCCTCCTAGTCTCCCTTCCTCCCTCCCTCCTTCTCCTCCACCTCTTTCTTCCTTCCTTCCTTCCTTCCTTCCTTCCTTCCTTCCTTCCTTTCTTTCTTTCTTTCTTTCTTTCTTCTTTCTTCCTTCCTTCCATCCATCCTTCTTCCCTCCCTCCCTCCCTCCCTCCCTCTCTCTCTCTCTCTCTCTCTCTCTCTCTTTCTTCCTTTCATTCTTTGGCAAATTCATACCTGCACATAATGTATTTGGGCTATTTTCAGTCCCCATCACTCCTTCTTATGCTCCCATTCCTGATGAATCCCTTCTTTTTCCCAACAAGTACCCTGACTACTTTCATATTCAAAAGTTTTTTTGAGCCACTGAGTTTAATTAGAGTTGCTTGTGTGAGCATGGGTGAGGGATTATAGCTGGAGCATGGGTAACATACGGTGGCTACACCACTGAAGAAAATTATCCTACCGCCCCCTGCAACCATCAGCTGAGAAAGCTCCCCAGGAAGGGTGGAGCCCCATGAGTCCTCCCTCAGGCTCTTACATTCTTTCTTCCCCTCTTCTGCTGTGTTCCCTGAGTCTTGTTCATGGGGAGGTCTGTGATACAAACATATGGTATATTCAGCGTATTTAAACACTTGATAGATAGTCCCTTCTTCTTAGCACTCTGACCAGTGAGGAGTCTTTGCATTAACTGTTGTCTACTACAACAGAAGCTTCACTAAGCCAACTTGAGAACAACACTCATTTATAGTTATACACATAAAGGTTTAGAAGACAGTTTCACACCATGTGAAGACAGCAAAACAACAATTCAGTGAAGCAATATTCTGACCCATTGCCTTCTTATCACGCGTATTCCACGACCCTCCATTTACTCCCTCTCTTAAAATCACTTCCTCTCCTCATGATCCTTTTACAGTCTTCATACTCTTCATACCTACCCCTGTGCACACACATACATACATATGTAATGTCTGAAATCTAGGTTTCCCAGCTCATTAGGCTATTTATTAATTACACGTTGGGGAGTGTATTAGTATGGAATGAATCTCTCTCTCTCTCTATATATATATATGTATGTATGTATGTATATATATATATATATATATATGGGTTTTTTGGTTTTGACGATGCTTCTAGGGATTGTATCCTAGGCTTTTGTTATGCCAAGTAATCGCTTAGCTCCTGACTGACATGCTTAAACTCAGACCTTCACTCTAAAAACCTCTACATCTCATAGTGTGTTGCTAAGAACATATTTTAGTCAGGTATGGTGATGCATGCCTTTAATCCAAGCACTTGGGGGGCAGAGGCAGAAGGATCTCTGGGTTTGAAGTCAGCCTGATCTACAGAGTGAGTTTCAGGACAGCTAGGCATACACAGAGAAATGCTGTCTTTAAAACCAAATGACAAGAAAAGGAGAAGAGGAACAGGAACATACTTCAGAGTTACCAAATCTTAGAATTCTCTGAACTGTCAACCTGGAGCAATAGTTATATGTAGTGGTTTGAAAGAAAACGGCTCCATAGTCTTAGATGGAATGATATTAGAAGGGGTGGCTTTGTGCTGGGCGGTGGTGGCGCACACCTTTAATCCCAGCACTCGGGAGGCAGAGGCAGGAGGATCTCTGTGAGTTTGAGGCTGGGCTGGACCGATAACCTCCAAAACAATACAGAGAAACCCTGTCTCGTAAAAACCAAAAAAAAAAAAAAAAAAAAAGGGGTGGCTTTGTAGAAGTAGGTGTGGCCTTGTTGGAGGAAGTGTATCACCTGGGGTGGGCTTTGAGGTCTCAGATGCTCAAGCCAAGCCCAGTGTGTCATTTTCATCCTGCTGCCTGCCAATCAGATGTAGAGCACTCAACTCCTTCTCCGGGACCATGTTGGCCTGCATACTGTCATGTCCTGCTATGACAATGGACTAAACCTTTGAAACTGTAAGCACGTCCCAGTTAAAATATACAAGGAGAACCCCAAAATGTGTCACCCATTTGCCTTAAGTGCAGAACCATGCTTATCAAGATTCCTACACTAGGAATTGCTGGAGGACAAACTGATTGCAGCTCTCCAGGCAGATTTGGTGGGTTTAGGGTGGGGCCTGAGAATCAACATTTTTTTTTTTTGGTTTTTTTCGAGACAGGGTTTCTCTGTGGCTTTGGAGGGAGAATCAACATTTTTAACAAGGTCCCAAGCAGTGCATTTCTGAGCACACTTTGGAATCTTTTATCACATTTAAACATGGAACTCCAAGAGACCTTAGGAAGATAACAAAACCCTCAAAGGCGCTCTGCTCCTATCCCAGAAACCAAGCTCCACCTAGAGGAGATGGGCAAGAGCTTGAGGTACTGCTTGGCTAGTGGAGCCTTGCTCACATGCTGGCATGCCTACTTTGACTAAGATACCCAAACTAAACTCAGAAGGCCCGGGATGTTAAACCAGCTAAGGGTTGGGTTACGGGAAAGCATTTTTAAAATGCAATCTTTGCTACCCCGTTTCCTACCATTCTCATTGCTCTGAGGGCTTCTTCAGCGCTCACCCGTTTCCATCCTTGGCGAGAGCTGGAACTGTTCTATTCCCACCGTATCCGGGAAGGGATGATGTAGTACCATCAGGGGGATAAGAAGTCTATGCCCTGCCTCGTGGGTTTATGGCCACTGCAGGTATCCAGGGTGCCACAGTAAGAAGGCGTCCTGAACTTGGGACATATGTTTCTGCTGACACCTTTCCAATCACTATTATGATTATGTTTTTGAATGTGTGCTTGAAAGTCTAGTGGAACGACAGTATGTGATCCAAGGGCTTCGTGGAGCTTGTTCGTCCTGCTCCCCACTGCCTTCCATGGTGGTTTCTTCCCCAAATTGTAGCATTGTGTGTTGTACCAGTTTAGCTTCTTTCCCTGGGTCCCGTTCTGTTGTCCCTTCCACAGCTGTCAGAGACCAGGGCACTGATCCATGCAAAGTCAAGAAGTCTGCATAGGGAGAACACTGCATCATGGGTAGAGGGCCAGGCAGCAGCCTGGTGGCTCTAAGCTCTGAGTACATTGGCTGTTGGCTGGAATTCTCCAGTCTCAACCCAGGGACTAAATGAGTTCATCTGGGAAGTAGACTTTGCTTTGAAATTACCTGTCCGCTGTGGGTTCATGGGAAGAGAAGGTTGATGTCTCCAGTGCTCAGTTTTCCTTTTGCGTTAGGTCTGAAAGGTCTTGACACTGGCCCAAAATAACCCACAGAGACCTGTGCAACCAACAGTTGCAGACAAATCACGAAGTTCCACTGACACTTTAACAAATGTTCACTCTCCCCAGCATTGCGTGGGAACAAAAGGTTTACCCTGGGCACCGCAGAGAAAGTAAAGAATTGAGGGGAGCGTGATGAGGTAGAACTGGGAATCTCAGGCCCAGGAAGACATAATGATCACTGGGACAAAGTCTAAAGGGGAGAGGAACAGCGATGCCTCGGGGAAGGCCTGTATAAATAGATGGTGACTCAGACCAAGCGACCCACCCCAGGAGACTGCGAGAGTGTGTCCAAATCCCATAGTGATGGATTAGCCTCTTGTTGCGGGGTGATACGGAGGCCTGGAGTAGAAAATAAGTTAGGATATTAGAAAATAAGGAATATTAAATTTGGTATATTCCTGCATTTGTAGACCGAGGTGTTTTTATGTGCTACCGCTCAAAAGGAGAAGTTGCAAGGGGCTTAGACTGTTCGAGGGAAGGGAGTCTCTCACAGCAACGAGAGCGGGGCAAAAGGGGAGCCATTGATCTTATCTGGTCAGCGACTGCTTTTCCAGGATGGAGAACATTCCGAAGTTAGCTGCGAGTTCTCAAGGGTCAAGAAACAGAGACCGAGTCTAGTAGATGCTATCAAAGAAACAGCAAAGATTCGTAAGGTCTGGCTTCCAGAGGGCTCTCTGAATTGTGTTTTCAAGCCACTTGCTTTACCCTAGTTGGTGGAGGCCCGTAGTCCCAGCCCTCAGGAGGCTGAAGCGAAAGTTCATGAGTCTGAAGGCGTCCTGGGATATATGGCCCCCATCTCGATTCCTCTCCCACTTCTTCCCCCATGCCTTGTACCTGAATGTTCCTTTTCTTACTCTATCTGGGAGAAAGATTTCTCAAAGAAACTTAGCTAGATACCTTTTGTAGGGGTGTGCCACTAGTTGCTAGGGTAACATTAGGATACTGGAATTCCAGGAGTGTGCCCAGCACTGGTGAAAAAATTTGGATATTTCACTTTCTTTTTCTTTATCCCTTCATATAATTTCCCTATAACACACATACTTAGCCCGTACAATTACTTGGAACAGATTTTATTTTTTTGCAATGGAAAATAACTCAGGGTGTCTATGGTAAAGATGAATTTATGACTTTAACCCCCTTCTATGTTTTTGGAGGGGAGAAAAGGCAGAGGAAATTAAAAACAAAGCAATCCAAACAAACAAAAACCATAGACAGTGCTCTTCTCTCCCCTGTCAGGAGAATCTAGCTAAAAAAAAAAAAAAAAAAAAAAAAAAGGATGAAGATTCTCAGTGTGCAATAGGAAGCAAAGCAGGGACCAAGTCTTTCGAGGACCAAAGCCATCCCAGAGCTCTAATCATGGAATGAACCACAGCCGGGACACATTCTGGGCCTAAACAACTGTCTTTCCAGTGAAAATTCTTGCATAATTCAACAAGTTCCACGTTGGGGTAACAGACACGAAGCGTTGATGCCAGGAATTCCCGGATGCTTCCTTGGAGCTCCTGGGGCCTGGAATTGACTCATGGAAGATTTTCGCTTCTCTTTGTAGCGTTAAGACTGCCACTAGAGAGAACACTCAGTATTGACACAGCTCACCTCGGGGGTAAACCAAGACAGGACATGTTATTCACGAGGTGGAATCGTCCAGGGAGGCAAAGGAATGATGAGAGTCTGATGATCAAGGGTAGATAAACCGCTCTTTCAGAATCAGACAGTGGGGAAAGCTTCTGTAGAAGGGGTCACATCCCCGACACAGAAGACTCAACACCCTGCTTGGCTGCATGCCTTCTGCATTGATGGAGCCCTCTGCGCAAATTCAACTGGGTCTGTTCTCAGAAGCTCACGTTTCCTCTGTGCCGGGGATACTGTTTGGCTCTTGATGGGAATTCTGTCTTTATCGGCATCACTGTTCAAAATCCACCATAAAATCAAAAGGGAAGAAGCATCCCGTTTGGGGTGTTTTATATCAGGACTCAGCATGTCCTTCCCTCCCGGGAATCGCGTCCACAGACAGCAGTCCCCTTGGCCCGTCGTGGTCGTTATCAAAGCCAGCCTCGAGAATGTAGAGATGAGCTGGATGGAATCTATCTTGTGTTGGAGTCACTGACTCTTAAGTTCCGATGCAGTCACAGGGCAGAGCCATTTAGCACCGAGGAGGCAGAAATGAAAGAGCCTGGTGTTCAAATACTTGGGCTTTCTAGCATGCAGGCTGTAAGTGGATCCAACACTTGCGGACCACTGAAGGGAGGCAGACAGTGGCCTTTTGAAACCCACAGCTCATCCTGTTTGGGCGGTAACTATAAACTAAAGGAAGTGTTTGTGTCAAGAAGTTTTGTCAATTTTGTTTTGTTTCATTTTAATCTGCAAAATACGGAAGGGAGGGGCAGAGTTTAAGAATGTGTGATCAAACTCGGGTGAGTTAAATTTTCTAGAGACATAGAAACTCCGGGGTTTTGTAAGACTTACCTGCTTTAGGGCTGGAGAAATGGCTCCGAGATTGGGAACACTTGTTGCTCTTCTAGACAGCCCAAGTTCGATTCCCAGCACCCACACGGTGGTTCACACCATCTGTAACTCCAATTTCAGGGAATCTGATGCCTGCTTCTGGCCTCCATGGACACCAGGCACAGATGTGGTACATACACGTGAAGGCAAAGCACTCATAGACATAAAATTAAAAAAAAAAAAACTAGATTAACAGTGTCAAGAAGACTAACTGAGAACCACAATTTCTGCCCATAAGGCTTCACTGTACTCTCTCACTTCAACATTTAAAACAAATTTGGAGTTCAGGGTCCATCATTTTCTTCAAGTGACTACCACAGCCTCAAGAGGAGAAACACAGTCAGCTTGGAAATACAGAGCACACAAGAGTAAAATAGAGAAACTTCAGGGAGCCAGAAAGAACCACGGAGAAATCAGAGAAGGAGCTGGGAAAGTTACCCATCAAGCTATATAAGAATTGGTGCCTATTCTCAAAGGTGGGAATGCTTGGATCTGACCAAGACCATGATATACTACAAACTGAACCTGGAAGGGACCTGGGCGCCACTAGGCGGCATATACATCTTCTGGACTGGAGAAAGATGTAAGGAGCATAGCCAAGTCTTTCAAAACAGAACTGACAAGTGGAAGCAGAAAAGAGAGAGAGATGGGCATAGTGGCCTGTGCCTGCAATTCTAGCACACGGCGCATGGAGGCAGCTGCATTGTCTCTGATTTGAGTTCTAGTCCAGTGTAGGCTACAAAATGAGACTCTACAGACCCACAAACAAAAAATAAAGAAATGAATGAAAAGTAGGAGAAATATTTGGAGAATGAATGGAGGGACCAACAGTTTGGGGATCATACAGGATGGATGTATTTCCTGGTAAATATGAATAGTGCAGCAGCAAATAAGCGTGTGCAGAACCTCTATGGTGCTATGACTTAAGAATTAGAGTCCTTGGGGTATCCACACCAGAGTATTACAGCTGGGTCCTATGAGGGTTCTGGTGTTGGTTTTTTGAGGTCCCTCTACACTGATTTCCACTGTGGAGACTCTCCAAACAGTTCAGACTATTGATATTACCCTTGGTTGCACCCTGGAGCTGGAAGGTAAGTCTATATTGCTGAAGACTCCATACACTTCAGACACAGACCCCAGAGGCCCCTGAGTCAGAACTGACCTGAATGCTGGAAGATCAGCCAGAGCTCTTAATCAGTAAGCCGTCTCTCTAGGCCATCACAGAAGTTTCAATTTGTATTTCCTTGATGGCTAAGGATGTTAAACACTTTTTCAACTATTTCTCAGCCATATCCATTTTCTCCATTGAAAGCTAACTATTTGTTAATCCATTTATTGATTGCATGATTTGTTATGTTTAATTTTTGATAGATCCTAGATATGGGTCCAGACAGTGGTGGCACATGCCTTTAATCCTAGCATTTGAGAGGCAGAGGCTGGCAATGTCTGAGTTTGAGGCCAGCCTGGTCTACAAAGTGAGTTCCAGAACAGTCAGAGCTATACAGAGAAACCCTTTCTCAAAAATAAATAAATAAACAAACAAATAAATAAAAAGTACAAGTAAAAAATTAAAATCACTGATTGAACTTATAGTTGAAAAGATGTTTTCCCCAGTCTGTTGGCTGTTTCTTCACTATGCTGATTGCTGTCTGTGCTGTATAAAAACTTTTCAGATTTCATGCAGTCCCATTTTCTAGTTCTTGGGATGTTCTCTATCCCCTTGGAGACCTTCTCAGGAAGCCCATGCCATATCTGTATCTTGAACTGTTTTACTTAGGTTTATTTTTTATCTAGTAGTTTCGGATTTTGCAGTTATACATTAAGTTAGCTGATGCATTTTGATTTGGAGGCAGGAGATGTGGGTCTAGCTTAATTATTTATATGTGGATATCCACCCTTTTTCAGGACCACTTGTTAAAAGAGGTTGTCTTTCCCCAAATGCATATTTCTGGCATCTTTGTCAAGTCAGGTGCCTGGAGCTGTGTAGGTCTCCTATTTCCTTGGTCAACAAGTCTTTCTGTGCCAGGACCATGCCATTTTGTTACTGTGTCTCTGTCGTATGATTTGAGATGAGGTATTACGATACCTCCCACGTTGTTCTTTCCATTTAAGATTGCTTTGACTTAGCGTTTTTTCTCCTTCTACATTTTTAGTCTTTTATCAATTCTTTGAGAATTTTGTACATACAATACGTTTTGATCATTGTCACTTGCCACTTCTCCCAGAACCACTCCCACTTCCCTACCCCTCCCAACTTAAAAAAACAAACCAAAACTGATTGACTCTGATTTGTGCCGCCCGTACACTGATGGGTGTGCAGCCAACCACTGGAGTGAGGTTGACCTGCCAGGGGCAACACCCTTAAAGAGAACTGACTATCCGTTCCTAGAAGCCATCAGCTGCCAGGAGCTCAGCTCTTCTGTTAGCGTGGGGGTTCCTGAGTGCCCACTTCACCACCTTGTTGGAAGATTGACCAGGTTGATCTTGTGCAGGCAACCACATCTGCTCTGTGTTCATGAGTATAGCGGCCCTGTCAAGTCCAGAAACACCATTTCAGCCTAGTCTTCCTCTATCTCCGACCCTTACAGCCTTGTCTGGGATGGTCCTAGAGCCTTTCCATAGGAATTTTCTAACTATGTTTCCTTGCTCTGTGAAGAATATCATTAGGATTTTATTGGATATGTGGACAGCTTCCCCAAATAGAGCCATTTTCACAACATTAATTAAGCTAATCCATGAACATGTGTGGTCTTTTCATTTCCTTGTGTGTATTTCATCTTCTTTCTTCAATGTCTTAAGGTTTCCACTGCAGAGATCTTTCACCATGCTGCGTTATTTCTTGATATTTTATTGTTAGATATCATTTTGAATATAATTTTCCCCTGATTTCTTTCTCATTGGGTTCATTGTTGGTAAAGAAAAACTATGGGTCTTTTTGTAGGCTGACTGTTGAAAAAAGTGTATCATGTTTAAGGGTTTTTGGTTGAGTCTTAAGGGTCTTTGTGTCTTTAAGTTTAGCCTCATGATATTTGCAAAAAGAAATACTGTGATTTCCTCTTTACTGTGTTATTCTTCTCCCTTTTTTTTTGTATTGCTCCTGCTGAGACTTTGAACACTATATTGAATAAGAGAACTGAGTGTGGACATCCTTGTTTACTCCTGATTTTAGAGGAATTTGAATAAAGTGTGCAAATGGTCACATTATTATTATTATGCTAGCCCTACATGAATCTACATATGCCACAATATAGAAAGATTAATTTTGGAAATGTCTTTCATGCCTGAATATCTCTTCATCCCAACTAAATTATAAAGTCAGGAATTGGAAGCCAGGCAATTGTGAGTTCCTTGAGGTTGGGAAGCATTGAATTAGGCAGCACAGAACCAAGAAGCTCTTTGAGGAGATAAAGAAAACAAAGAAAGGAAGGAAGGAAGGAAGGAAGGAAGGAAGGAAGGAAGGAAGGAAGGAGGGGAGGGAGGGAGGGAGGAAGGAGGGAAGGAAGGAAGGAAGGAAGGAAAGGGTACCAAAGTATAGAGGCACTTTTGTGAAAGGGAGCTACAAAGAAGTATCTAATTTTGATTTTGGCCATATCCCCAGTCAATATAAGGGACATCTCATGATGTCCTCATTCATCTGCAGGTTCATGGGCTTAAGAAAGTCTTCAGTTGAGAACTTAACCCTGAAAGTCAACATTATTAGCTGCTTCATGACCGGAATAACTTACCAAAATGTTTTCAGAAGTCCTTCCATGAAAACCAATTTCTTCCTCTCCATCGTAATCCTAATGCTCTTTACTTATTTATTTAAATTTTTTTCCTTTTTTGGGGGGGTGGTGGTTTTTGAGACAGGGTCTCTCTGTATTGTTTTGGAGGCTGTAAGTTTTAATTGTGTGTGCACATGTGCAGGTGTTCTCAGAGTCCAGAAGAGGGCATCAGAGCCACGGGGGTTGGAGTCATAGGTGGTTATTGTTAAGTCTCAAAGAAGCCTGGAAATATCTCCTCTCCTCCCAGGTCAGACTTCAGCTTCTCTTCCTGCAGTCCGATCTCTTATAACTCAGCCGTTTTGGCTACACTGGTTTCTTGTCTCTTGGCCTGGGCTGCCTCTCTTGCTCTCCCTCTCCGTCTTTCCTCTCACGGTCAGGTTTAGTCAGTCAGCCATGTTTAGCCTGGACTCTCCCCTCTGCCTGCTTTCTCCCTTCTCCCTGCAATAAAAGTCTTCTCCATACTCTAGGAGTAGCCATGTCCTCCTCCTTTTATGTCACTTTTCATTCAGTGTGAGCCTCCTGATGTTGGTGCTGGGAACCAAACTTGGGTCCTCTGGAAGAAGAGTGCATGGTCTTAACCACTGCACCAACTCCCCAGCTGCTCTACCTCTTTAAGACTAGCCTGAGCCGTCACAGCTTCTGTGAAGTGTGCCAGAGCCTGCCCAAGGTATCATAGCTGTGTGAATTTCGCAACATACCTGGCCAGTGTTTCTGATGTAGCATTCACTTCCCCTCTTTCCAAGAAACTTCTTAGAGATCCCGCTTCAACTTGTTATGACAAGCAGCCTGTTATATCACACAGCAAAAAGAAAGGAGAGGGAACAGGGTGGAATCTTTCCTCTCCTTAAACTTGTACCAGACTGGACCTCAATAGTAACTCCTGTAGCATCACCAAGAGGTGGATGCTTCTAGATAGTGTTTTTTTCTGACTTTCCCTAAGCTTTCTCTTGGGACTCCTCCTTGTAGATTAAAGACATTGTTCGATGCACTAGTGGAATGCTATAGAGAGGAGAAAGAGCTTCATCAGAGGCAATGATATGCTTAAGGACACCAGTTTGATTGCATTAAGATAACTTTGCTCAAAAAGACTTGGGGGAGAAATATAAATTAATACTATACATCATACTTTCTTCCTCATAATCCAGTTTTCTGTTTATATTCTGAGAGTCACAAGTACAGTCCCAGCTCTTGAATTATCTTTAGTGTTTGTCTTTTATTTTCAAGAAATTTATTTTGGATAAGAT